CCCCAAAACCCCAAAACCCCATTACACCTATCATAGAAACTGAGAAGTGATAGAGGGATCCAAAGTTCAAATTATATAAATTGACTAATATTTGAATTATTAAGAAGAATGGAGAAGTATAGAAAGTTAAAAGTTATCGGAAAAGGTAGTTTCGGCTATGCAGTCCTTGTTCAGTCAGTTATCGATAGACAAACATATGTTATGAAAGTACTTGAATTTAATAATGAGCTAATGAAGCCTATAGATTATTGATGTTTCTAAAATGGATAAAAAACAGAGAGAGGATGCAATCAATGAGGTAAACCAATAACTTCTAATTGCATACATTTTAAATCAGCCTGATATTGATAATTTACAATTGTATAGGTCCATGTTCTTAAATCTATGAGACATCCATACATCATCACTTACAAAGAGTCATTTATGGACAAGAAATGCTTATGCATAGTTATGGACTATGCTGACGGTGGCGATTTATATACTAAAATAGCAAATCAAAAGAAAATTGGAAAAGGTAAAGTACTACTTTAATTAAAAAAGCATTTGATTTCTTATGAAATCTGCTGATTGAAAATTGTTCTAAATTCAGTTATTAGTTATGTACTCTGAGGATCAAATATTAGACTGGTTTGTACAGATGGCTTTAGCCATTAAACATATACATGATCGCAAAATTCTACACAGAGATTTGAAGACTTAGAATATATTCATGACCTAGACTAATTAAATTAAAATTGGAGATTTCGGTATTGCTAGAGTACTCTAGCATACTTATGATTGCGCCTAAACTGCTATCGGTACTCCTTATTATCTATCTCCTGAGATCTGTCAGGAAAAACCATACAATCAGAAATCAGATATCTGGTCTCTTGGGTGCATACTATATGAAATGGTTACACTCAAGCATGCTTTTGATGCCAGCTCTATGAAAGGATTGGTGCTTAAAATATTAAGAGGAACTTATCCAGCAATTCCTCCCAGTTACTCTTAAGATCTTAAGGACTTATTAGCAGATATGCTAATCAAGGACCCCACAAAGAGACCCTCAATGAGGAAGATCTTAGAAAAGGAGTTTCTGAGCAGAAGAATTTCGAAGTTACTGACAAGCACTATTGCCAAAAACGAGTTCTCAGCAACCTTCCTTTAGAAGCACATTACACCATTCACAAAGGTAATAAACAATTAACGTAGCTAATTAAATTAGGATTAGGAAGAAGAATCAAAGGACAGTGAAGTAAGTGACGTTGATAATGTAAGGGTAAGCTTTTGAGTACTAAGTAATTTATTGAGGTTTAGGATTCTAGTAATTTTGACATTTCAAACCCCAAGGAAAAGATCCCTGCCATTAAAAATTTCAAGCCAAATCCAAACATCTAAAGCTCTGGGGCCTAGGATCAGAGTGGCCACAGTTCATCAACTAACTCTAAGATGGCTTATCATCAGAAGAACCCAGACTTCCCCAACCCTAAAGTAGTGAATAACTTTGTGCAGGGTAAGGCAGTCAAGGAGGAAAAGAAGGTATCTCGTTAGATCAGAAAGGAGGAGTCATCAGATGATGATGATGAGAATTTCGAGGAGCCATAGAGGGCTATTCCTACCTTCCTGCAAAACATTCCAGGCATCACTTTGACACCCTCTGATCCACTAGGCTACAGAATTGAAGCTTTGAGAGTGCATCTTGAGAAGCAACTCGGAGACATCCCATTCATCGCAGCTTATAAGCATCTTGTGGTAAGTTATTGAGAATTAATGCAATATAATAGAACTTGTCGGCTGATGATGAGACTGATACAGATGAACTAGAGGGAATGCTCGGAGCCAAGAAAATGAAGTTTGTGCAGCTGATTCATTAGTTGATCGTGTGTGAAGAGTCCTACTATGCAAATAAAAATGATGGTAGCTACTGATTGTAATAATTCCCTCGCTGACTTCGTGCAAATTCATTTGTGCTAATGTTTACGAAATTAATATTAACTTGAAATATGATTAAATTAACTTAAAAATCTTAATCTTTTTTATCACAGTCTCTTATGGTCGTTATGATGATTGTGATCGTGCTTGAATGGAATGTGATTTCCTCCAGTTATCATGTTAAGAATTCCACTGAAATGCAGTATGTTAGCCATCACTATAAAGAATATCACTATCATTGCATTCTTAAAAAGCCCTTGATAGAAGTTAAGCCTGTTTTAATCTGGTGGAAGTTCATTATTTAGGATATATATCTTTGGATAGCCATGGATTATTGTTATTTTTATCCTCTTATTTTCATCTACTGTTACACAATCCCAATCGCTAAAAGCATTGCAGAGCTTGTCTCCTTGCTTGAAGGGGTGGTTTTAAAGGAACATAGTTTGATGTACATTTTCAGTATTAGTTACAATTACTAACACTTCTGGTCCCTTGTTGAAAATCAATGTGTCTTACCCTGACTATTTAAACTCTGGCTCATAGTTGTATGTTTCATGACTAGACCTAACTTAGTTGAGTACTTTGATATATTTAGCCATGGTTTGATCAACTGCACCCTCTTTAAAGGGATTGTAAATTTCTCTGTTCAGTGGATCACTCCCACCATTGAGTCTACCCTCAGTGCCATAGTAAAGTATTGGTATACCATAGCTCATAAAAGCATAAGTTAGAGCATTTAATCCCAGAGCTAAATCCTCTTTATCTGCTGCAAATCTACTTAACTTATTAAACAATCTAGCCTCATCATGGCAGTCCACGAATACACCGAGCAGACTCATATCTGAGAAATAGTTCTTCTGGTTCATATATTACTCTTAAAGACTTGCTATTGGGTATCGCTTTGCAAACACTTCATTCATCTTATGATACAATGGGAAATCTAAAACTGAGTCCAAGCCAGCTTAGGTCTAGTAATCCCCTACGATAGAAGGACTCTAACTTGAAACTTCTCCAATAGCAAAGGTATTAGTGCCACTAAGAACAAGATTGAGTTCCTACCAGAATCTTTTATTGACATGTCTGACTGTGTCGATCCTGATTCCATCAAAGCCATACTTTAAAACGACATCATTTCGGATCCAATTGAAGAGTAGATCTTTGACTTCATCACTCTCTGTGTTTAAGTCTGGAAGTCCAAATAATCTGCAGTTTTCAATTGCATGTATGTTATTAGTTTCAAAATCTTGTGGACTTATTTCGCATTATTCATGATAGTGCTTGTCTTTGTTGAATGGCACTATATCGTCAAAGACTTTGCCCTCAGGTACATAGCCTACATGATTAAACACCACATCTACCATCACTAGAATCTACTACTCATGCGCCTTAGCTATGAAACGTTTCAGCTCCTATTCAGTTCCAAAGTTAGAGTTGACTTTGTATATATTCTAAGCCCAGTAGCCATGATACCCCAATTCAGTATTCTCTATGAAAGGTGAAATATAAATAGCAGTAAAGCCCAAGTCAATTATATGTGGCAGCAATTAGATCAAATCATTGAAGGTTCCTCCACAGTATTCCTTGAGTGTTGCACATTTTGGCTCCCCATCGATTACTATTCTATCTGTAAGCACTTAATATATAGACTAAGACTTCCACCCATTAGCTTTCAAAGTATAAGAAACTTAAAAGAGAAGTGATATGATATAAATTGAGATGAGTTTGAAACTTTTCATTTTAATTAAACACCTATTTTAATATTTGTTTTTATAGCCTAACTTAATAAATTCTATGAATTTCTAAACATATCAATTTATTAGATATCTCATTGTGGGGTTTTGGGGTTTTGGGGTTTTTAGGTTTGCTGA